CATAGGCCTTTCAGGCCTCTCTAAGCGGTTTACAGAGAGTCAGCATATTGCCCCCAACAATCTGGGTCCTCATTTTACCCACCTCGGAAGGATATACATATCATTGATGATAATCACATAATTATAGTAATATTAGCTTATCCATACTAGTAAACTTTCATTATATAGTTCATTCTCTTAAACTTTTAAGTTTCTAAATCCTGTTTCTGTTAATTAACCATTAGTAAAACAAGTCCCATGCTTAAAAGTATTCTGTTTCTTCCTTCTCCTTTATTTTGAGTGTTAATCTATCCATCTCTGCGCATTCAGATTTATTCATTTTTATTATACTTTCATTTGTAGGGATCTCTTCATTTTCCCACTGTTGTGCAAAAACAATTGTTGCTGCAGTTAACACATGTAAAATTAAATATGTATTCTCTTTATTGTACTGTTCTGGTAAAATATTCAACACAAATATTTCTGGTTTTAAATCAATGTGTTACTTTACCATTTTTTCTAACCATGTATATATTTTTGTCCAATATTTTTTTGCCTTTGGACATGTCCACCACATATGAGAGTATGAACCCGGTGTCTGATTACATTTCCAACATTTGGCGGACATGTTTTCAAACCTTTTTGCCATTCTTACTGGTGGTAAATGCCACCTATAAAACATTTAATATAGATTTTCCTTATAGGGAGTTGACATTGTTAATGTATAATTTCTATTCCACAATTTCTGCCATTTATCTAACTCTATAGTAAATCCAAAGCTTTTGACCCACACTATCATGTTTCTTTCTTCAATTGTTGTTTTTTCAATTGTTCTTCAATTTTAAAGCTCAATAAATACATTTAAATACATTTAATTAGTTTTTCATCTGTTCCTAGTAGTATCTGATGTAATGCTGTTGGTGCTTTATAAAAACCATACATTTTTATATCTTTCTCATACTTTGATTGTTTTTGCATATGCAACCATCATGCTAGATCAATCCCTTGAGTTTACAATTCTTGCTTAGTTTTAAATTCCCATTTTTCATTCAAAATGTCTTTATATCTTGTAATTTTTTTCAAGTTAACAACTTTCGGATGTATCAGTGCCTCCATCGAGGAAAGCCAGACTGGTATTTTCATATCATGTTTTTCTTTGATTTTTCCCTATACTAACNATAGAAAGGATGAAATGTAAGGTATGCTTCCAACAGTTTATTAAATGCTTTACTATGGGAGCAGAAGAGATGACATCCAACTTTCTGATGCATTCATTTTTGAAATAGTTTTGTCATGGTTCTGTTCCTACATCGAGAATACCTTCCAGAAAGTAGAATATCATTTGGCTCTCTGTCATTTTTACTGAGGGATACATAAAGGTTATGGTGTCCCCCAGGCTACTCCTGTATGTAATCAGTGCATTAATGATCATCAAAAATTACAGGTCTGGGTACCTTCTCTATACAAATAATATTGAGGTTTCTTCTTTCCATCATCAAGTATGCTGAGCTTGTTGAGTTGTTGATTGGATTGAAGACATTCTGGTTGGAGGAAATCTCAGCAAATGGGGAAGGGCTTTTCCTTTTTTGTTCTTCCTTCAAAGGAGCAGTTGTAAACAAAAGTGCCTATTTGCCATTTGTTCATGATGTTTCATTGTATGTGAAACAAGAGATTATCTTGCTTCTATTATCTATTCACTAGTTATTTCCCAGTAAAATTACTTCAATGTGTTCTGTATAGGGATGCCTTTGAAGGAGATTTAGAAACTACACAGTCTAGGATGGGGTGACTAGACTGTGATAGGGTATATCATAGCAGGAGCACATTGCACCTATTTTTTGGCTAAGCCACATTGGCTCTCACATTTTACAGTTGCAAGATTCAGAAGCACAGACTATCCATTGTGAAAGATCTACTCATGAATTAAAACATGCTTTGGATATTAAGGAACGTGAAGCAAGTGCGGCATCTCAGAAACTACAGGATCTTCTGGTAGCATCATCAGAAACAAATAATACTATAAAACAATTAGAAGAGCATATACAGAGGTAAAACATGCTGAAATTTAAATGTGCTAAATTATGACAATTGATAAAAAAAACTCTTCTTCAATTTATATTTCCATATGGTATAGAATAATTGAAACACATAAAGAGGAAGAAATATAGTTGCATTGTATCCCGTTTTGAGACTATGTGTTTTCCTTTTAAGACTTGAAATAGAAAATGCCAGATATGAAGCTACAACGAACCAGCAATGTAATAGAATGGAGATACTTCAAAAAGACCTACAGAATAGTGTTTCTGTAAGTCAGCCATAACATTTTGGGGAAATAAGATTTCATGTTTAATTACTGTTTTTTATAATTTTAAAAAATGAAATATTTCAGAAGCTATTATAGCATAATTAGTTTCTTTCATTTTCAGAAGTCCTAAATAAATTTATTAAAAATTTTGAAATCATGAATGTAACAATAGTAAGGAATGTAAATAACAAAATAGATTTTTAGAGAATTTCTGGAGACTGAAGACTTTTGCAACTTGCATAAAGACTTGATTTCTTTTGTGGTGATCTAGGTTCATAATCGTCTTGAAGAATTGATAACCAGTTTACAGACAGCAAAAATCAATTTAGAGGAACAACTAAACCACCAGGTATTCTGCTTTTTTTCTTAAAAATGAAACGATCAGTAGTATTTTCGAGACAAGGATAATTCATATATAAGATAATCAACACATTTCACATAGATCATTCCCTTTTATTTCTGTTAATCTTTATATATTGCACAAGAAAAAAATAGATATCAGAGAGTTTAAGAGAACTGCACTGGCTGTGCAGTTTGGGTGTCTCATGTGGACATAAAGTATAGCCAGTTTTATTCACAAATGCAGGGAATTAAAATAAATTGAAACAAGATTCTTACAGTAATAATATGTGAATTAGTGCAGGAAACAAAAGCTAGAGATTTGAACTCTTGAGAGCTTCAGTGCTCTTGCTTTAAAAAAAAAATAGATTAACAGTATTGGAATGGGCCTTGTAGGTCACCTAGTCCAACCGCCTGCCCAAGCATCTTTGTATAAGGACATTGCAGAATAGAGGGAGAATAAGGATGTCCATATAGTTAATTATTGTCAATTATTTCTGAGAGAATGAATATGCTACTAGTGTAGCATATTCAAAACTGAATGTAATCATATAAGGAAAAAAAAAACAGCCAATCAGCGTTATTTTATTATTATTGTTTTAATTGTAATTATTAATTAAATATACTTCTTAGAATCACTTTACTATATGAAACTCTTAAAAATCTCTTTTAGGACTTGAGAGTTTTTAAATTACATTCTTGCAAACCTTTAAATTTCATTTTTTTTTTTTGAAAGCAAGTCTTAAATTGGAAAATCAGTGACATGTGAAACACAGTTTCTTAATAGTTTTATTTTGTATCCACTAAGATTTATTCGCCTTAGAAAATTGAAATGAAAATTCTGTTTTAAATTGATACTAGCCCTGGAGATTTTATGGGTATGTCCATATAAATTTTTGTGGCATTAAAATAGTTTTATCATTACCTTCTTTCAGCATGTTTTTCAATTTCATATTCTAGAATCTAGCCTATACAGTATAGATTGTCCTTGAATTATGATTGCAATTTAGATTGGAATTTTGGGTGTAAGTCTTAACATTTATGATTTTTTATTTTGTTATATAAAATACAAAGAAGAAAAGAAAATTGGAAATTAAGGGAGGGAACGGGGAAAGGGGTATGTGAGATACAAGGGAGAAGAGAAAAAGAAAGAAAAGGGGGCATTGGCTTCCAAATCTTCCTGGCGCAGTACAAGATAAACACATTCCAAACTCAACTTTTTGCTTTTTGCTACATTAATATATAACTAGCCATTCCTATAACACCAAATCTTTCTAATCAACAAAATCAAGGTCAAAGTTTCATTTTTTTTCTTTACAAGCACAAATTCCAGAAGTGATATCCAAATAAGAAAAAAATTTCCTCTTTAAATAAAGGACTCAATTTAACCATTTCTGCTTTATCTTCCTTGCTATGGAAATAATGTGTATTTCTATTTCCACCTAGTAATCTTTGTGAATTGTCACCATTTTCATTTATAAAATTTATTGTATTCTTTCAAATTCTTTGGCCTTACTGGAAAAAAAAGGGGGGGGGGTTCACCCATTTTTTTCAAAGCACTACACTTTTTAAAAACAAAACACTTTTAAAAATCAAAACTTTCTAATATGTCTTTTTCTTTGACTTTTTAACATACAAGTTTTGAACTTCAGTATTGCATTTAGCTCCCTTCTTTTTTCCTTTTGTAAACATCCTTTTTAACATATTTTTCTTTTTCTTTAAACAATTTTTTGTTTAAAACAATTTTTCTTTAAACTGTTACATTATTTTATTTAACTTTCTCTTAATACAGGTACTTTCAAATACATTTTCAATAAGTTTTGCCTACTGTAAGAGTTACTTAAGCATTATTTATATGTAAAAAAATACATTTTCAAATTTTGTCTCAGAACTTTCTTTTAGCTGCACATATCAAGTAGAGAAAAATGCATCCTGGTTTCAGTTAACTCATTAAGTTTAAGTCACTGCTTTCAGCTTATCTTCATGGAGTAAAATCTTTTTTATTCTCTGGAAGTATCAAAGACTTCTAGGCCTTTCTTTTTATCACAAGTTCCTCAACCTTATTAATGTCTTTAAAGAAAAGTTCCCAATTTCTCTTTTTTCTCGACATCATTCTTTCAGTTGTGTTGAGAGGTTTTACATTTGAACCATAGTAGTGAAGGTGAAAGAGAAATTTAATATCCCATTCTTCCAAATCTGTGATAAAGTCCTCTGCGTTTTCAGCTACTTGTGAAATTGCATTGGCAGTTTTGTAACATTCTCCACATGTGTACATTTCAGAAGTAGTTTGAGAGGATTTTTTTGTCATCAGAGAACAACTCTTCAACAAATTTGCACATTTTATTTAGGGACCTTTCAAATATATATCTAATACTTTGCTCCACCAACTTGGCTTCCTCTTGTAGTCAATGTCAGAAGATTTTAGCCACCCACAGCTAAGGAGATCAAGCTACCAGTTACTTCAATAGTAAACTAAAATCACAGCTTTCCATCTTTATCTTTCTCTTAACAGCTTTTATTTTCTCAGCACACTTCCTTATTTGGCTTGCCTTAGCAGCCTTCTCCATTGTTCATTGAGACAAAAAAATTCCTCAAAAAACAGCTCTTCAAGAAATAGTAGGCCATTGCTAGAAAGAGCCTCTTTTAAGTTGGCTTAAGATAGAATAATAATCGTTGAAGGTGATTAAGAAGAGGTAGGCATAACTTACTGTCCGTTTGAAAGGTGGATTTCCAAATGACAGCTACTTCAACCTCCAAACAGATTGCAGCCTCTTCCCTCCCAGTTTTTGGCATGTAGATACCTTTGGGGTTCAACTCCAGAAAATGTTTTCTGGCTTACAGCTGTATTGAAGGATTCTGAGGGGAAGTTCTTCAACACACCATGGCCAGGTGGGTCATAAAAGCTGATGGGATATCAATCCCTTCAGTTAGAAGGCAGAAGAGCAACACCCCAGGGAAAAGTCCTTTGGAGATCTCTCCCCAGGTGTGTGTTCAGTTAGCCATGTTCCCTGGAAGTGAATTTTGGGTGTAAGTCTTGATGGTCATAAGTCAAGGCACCGTGTGCCCAGACCCAATTTTACAACCATTTTTATGGCAGCCATTAAGCAAATTATTGAGTCATTAAACAAGCCATGCAGTTGGATGTCTAAATCTATTGTACTGTACGGAAACTGGAAAAAGACATCACAAATCATTGGGCCATAAAACACCCATTTTGGATGTGAGCGGGATCTGACTGCAATACCTGTCACCCCATTGATTACCAGGGTTGATTTGGCTAATCTGTCTGGATAGTCGACAATCGTCTTCCTCCTGCATTGTTTTATGTGCATCCCTCCCGAGCTTGGTAGAAGAGGATAACCATCCCAAATAGAATAAGTATACCGATCTTGGTCAAAGGTATATGATAGCTGCACTCTCCTAGAACTTCAAGACAAGCACTCATTCTGAGACTGTCATACCTCTGAATGGTAATTAAACAACCAGTCATAAATCAAGGACTACCTGTAATTCAGGGATCTCCCATTCAACATACTAATCAGATCTGATCCTATTTAGTTGATTGTCAAACAAACAAAATATGAATTGAGACTTGGTATCATTATTGGCAATTTGCTAAAATGTATTCACTTTGAGAGCTATTGGTGTTTTGAAACTAGTTATGGCTAATATAATATTTTTCAAATTTAGAATATAATTGTTACTATTAGATATTGGAATTGGAATTAGTTTATTTGTATGCTGCCCTTCTCCCTGAGGGGACTCAGGGCGACTCACAATTCAGGGGGGAGGGGATGACAAACAAGTGATAGACATAAGACAATACATTATTAAAAGAAGCACAACAGTCATACCATTTGGGCGGGGTTAGGGTCTTTAGCCCCAGGCCNTTTTTTTAACATTTTCTAATGGTGGTGTGCCTCGTGATTTTTTTCATGAAGAAAGTGTGCCTTTGCACAAAAAAGGTTGAAAAACACTGACATATAGTAATGATATTGGCCTATAATTTTTTATCTGCATTAAATCTGAATCTTCTTTCGATGTTAAAGTGATATTTGTTCCATCCAAGTATTTGGTATCTTGGCTTATAAGTACACAATATTTTCATTTCTTTTGTGATTTATTCAATAGAATAAATACATTCTGAAAAGAATCTCACAAGGTTGTTTTTTCATCTAAATGCTACATAGGATTGAAACTAATATTTTATTTCAGAAAATGTAATATTAGTCCTTATCAATTTCTCAATTACTTAGTTTTACTCAAATTTTTAGCATGAATCAATTACTTTGATGGTTAAGAAAACTGTTCATAATGAACCTCTGTAGAACATTACGATGTCTAAAGTGACTAGAGAAATCCAAATCTATATTTTATTCAGCTGTAGATAATTACTAACATTATGCTGCCAAAATGACTGTAACAGTGTTTCTAATTTTCCTAGTAATTACTTTACATATGTTTAACTATTAGTGTTAGAATTTTTTTTATTTAGTTGCTCAATTGTCAGTATCTATTTAAACCAGAGATGGGTTGCTGCCAGTTCGGCCCGGTTTGGCCAAACCGGTAGTGGCCTGGAACAGCTGAGAGCGAACCGGTACAGTAGCTCTTTTGGCCTGCCCACCTGCATTCTATACCTGTATTTATGGTAAAAGGTAAATTACACTTGCGTGCACAGCATGCGCCGCCTGCGCGAGCCCCAACAATCAGCTGGTTGTTGCAGAGGGGCGGATAGTGTATGTACGCACAGTGCAAGTTGTGCCCGTGCGAACGGAATGCGTGTGCAATCAGCAAACCAGTAGTAACGGTAAGTGCAACCCACCACTGATTTAAACATATATTGTATTGTCTGATATAATACAATGTCTATTCCTTATAGTTGTGGCTGTATACACAAGCACAATCCGTCAGATCATAACAAACTGGTCAGTTTGTTACTTTACTACAAGGATGCTATTTTATAGGTTGAAGAAGAACGCAATGAAACACAGAGACAACTTTGTCAAGAACAAAATGCCAGAGCCATACAAGAAGATATTTTAAGTACCCACTTCTGGAGGCAGAAGGAATTGGAAGAAGAATCAAAAAAAGTAGCAAGTAAACATTCAGAGGTATCCACTTTGCCAAATACTTTAAAAATATAAAACTGTTTTCAGTTTCATTGATTACAAATCAAAGTTCCGGTCATTACCTGTAAAGCTCTGTGTGGTTTAGCTGCTAGATATAACAATGGATGGAATTCTCTCTCTGTCAGTTTCAATCCTTCCTGTGTGTATGTCCAGGGAAGAGATGCTAAGGATTGTCATTCTATGTGAGGGGAATGGGTTGGAGGCCTTTGGAGTGCCTGTTCCATGCTCTGGAACACCTTGCTGCTTGAAGTATGTGATCTTTCAAATTTATTGGCTGTTATGAAGGCTCATATAATTGTTTTCACCACAAAATGTATGACCCCTAAGAGAGATAGGACTGTTCCATTTAATTGATAACTATTTTAGGGTTTTGCCCTTATATTTAGATATTTGTACGCATGTATGGGAGAGAGGAAATGTTAAACTACCTTCAATATCTTAAGTAAGGACATACTTTTATACATCAGTAATTAAATCTTAAACTGTGATGTAGATTTGGAACCTGTGATTCAGTAAGAATCAATATTAAAAATGAAATACTGTTTATACATTTGTTTATACATAAAAAGTTCCTTTACCTTTTTTGACAATGATGTATTTTAGAGAAAAATATTTGTAAGAAAATTATTTTTTAATTATTTAAGAGAGCAGATATTCATTTTATGGCCTTATTAGATAGAAGAGGTGGCTGAATTTGTTCAGTTTTGCAATACAAGCTGAGTCAAATTTGGTGAACCTTTTGTTGGGAAATTCTCAGGAAATATTTACAACAGACTAGATTAGCAAATTATAAAACATCTTTGTAGACAATAGTGGCAAACATTTTTTCACATTATTAAAAAGATAATTCATAGATGACACCATGAATTTACAAGGAGTCATGTGACTCAAAGGAGTCTTTTTCTTACCCTAAGAGTTCATTTTAGTCATTTTTCAATTTAAAAAATGTCCTTCTTTTGACCATAGTTGAGACAGGAATATGTATCATTAAGTGGTATGGTTGTAAATGTGACTGCTTTTTAGCAGCAGTAATCCAGCAGTCTTCGTAACTGTCATTAACTGAATACTCTGTTTGTTACATGAGTCAACTGCCTGCTGACTTTCTACAATCAAGTCAGTGGGGAAGCCAGCAGAAAGTTGTAAGCCCCAGGAACTGCCAAGTGGAGGATGGAGTGAGGAAGTACATGGGAATGTTGGACCTAAGAGCCATTTGGATTTTCAGCACTGAATTGAAACCCCTTGTTCTGGAGTTTAAAATTTTCCAATGGCTGAAAATCCTGCTTCTGTTGGCATGGAGGATTTTCACTTCTAAGTAGAGAGGCAAGTCTATTAGGACTGAAAATCCTTCATGGCAAAATCTAAGCAAGATTTTCAACCAGAAAGCAGGGAGATTTTAGAAGCCTTTTCACTCAGTGGCTGAAAATCCTACTTGGATTTCAGCATGGATCTTTTTCAACCAGCCCCAAAGATTAAAAAGAGTCACCTTGGCAGGTGGTGGTAGCTTACAACTTTCCCTGCCAGCTTCCTCTGTGAACAGTTTGTCAAGTGCCCAGATTACAATCACATAGGCATTGTGATGGCCATAAATTCAGTCATGGGTTATAAGACCTTGCTTTTAGCACCAGGGTAACATCAGCCCATTGCTGAATAAGTGGTCATAAATTGTGAACTAACCATTTAAAACTTTGTGAGCATACTCTGCAAGGAACACATTTTATGTAAACATTAAAGAAAAAGGCACAGTATGGAATTTGTTTCTCTTTTTTTTTTTGTTAGTTCAGTTCTCTCTCAAGTTCTATAGACAGACTATGAGGTGCGTGCTTTAGAAGTGTGGTTTATAAATAAACTTAATAAATGCAATGTCTAATTAAATTTTGCTTAAGAAATTGAGAGGGTTTTTTATATTGCTATAAATGATCTCCACGATAGAGTAAGCTTGATTAAAATTAAGAAAATATAGAGTATACTATTTTGAAAAGAAAATGCATAGTTGTCATATTATCCCACATCTGTTATGCTCTATAAGAATGAAAAATAATTGTTGTTCATACACAAACTATCCAGATACAGTATTTGTTCTCAGTGTGTTTAATGAATGCTTTGAAAGCCACAATTAGGATGCATGGGTAGCAGCGCCTTTTACATAGTCTCTCTTAGAAACTCATGAGACACATAATGTTTCCATTTCTTAAGTAATGTTTAGATATGTAGATGTTCAGAGGGTTACCTGTAGATTGATAACATTTATCCAACATAAATTTGTCTGATCTCTTAGAATGTAGCTTACATCTCTGGATTCTATGAATTTATTTATTTGTTAACCCTCTNCCAAGGAATATGAATAGTAAAGAAAATATTCCTCTTTTTATCCCAGCTGCTCTATGATATCCATTCTATAATAATACCTTATTCTCAATGAAACACTTATTCTGGCAGATAGATAGATCCAATATGACCTAATTAGGGAATTATACCAGGTGACCATGATAATAAAATAAGAGGCTTTTGTGATTTGCTTGGTACGTGGCAAAAATATAATACTGTTGAGAAGTATTCCCTTACAGTGTAGTTCACCAAAATTACAAGTTTTATTAAAGAAACATTAGAGGAGTCAAAAGTAGGGGAAATTAAACCACAGTGGGATTATGAAAGGCATATGTGCCTTAACTGACGTTACCTTTTCATAGGTATAAATGCAAGGAACTCCTTGTTATACTTGCTTTGCTAAGGAGGGATACTAGTGATATGACTAGTTGCATTTTCAAGGGTTTTTTTTTGGGGGGGGGGAAGGAACTAGAATATTTAGAAATTGTATATTATGTGGAAAAAATAACATAGAACTGAACTGCATACTTCTGAGTTTGCTACAAATTATTACTTACCCATTATATAAACATTTTGATCTGCTATTTAACCACATTTTTTTCAGAAATCCGATAGCTGAAAATTAAGAAGGCACTTCCTTTTAATTCTTTTTTTCCCTCTTAGAAAAATTAGAATAAAAAATTAATCATTTTTAATTTGAAAATACATATATTTTATACATTTTGCTTATAATCAGGAAAAAGCTTTGAGAGCAAAAAGAAAATAGACTTAAAAGAATTTTAGTGACCTCATAATTACATAGAGACATTGTGTTGTTTATGATGTCAGCTGAAGCAAGGAGATTGGATATGCCAATTATGTAATAAGGAACTTTGCAGATTCTATCCACGTTCTAATGTTTTCGCTCAAACAATAGCGAGGGCATAATCTGCACAAATTCAAATTTAATAATTTTTTTGGTCCGTTTCTTCTTTTGACATTGAGGAAGGAGCAAATTTGAGGATTTTTTGTTTAATGTCTCTGTTAAAGTGAGCAATAATTGCCTAAGTAGAGTAGCACAATGAAAAATGCGCAGGAGGCTCAAAAATCATATGGGCAACATCAAATCAAATTATTAAAAATTATGAATTGTTCAGATATTATATAGAAATATCATAATTGGGGAGCTATGGAGGATGAGGCAAACTACCAAGGATATCCTGATTTTTATATAATGAAAAATTCTGATCAGCCTAATCAGGATTTGATCTCTTCATTCTCCAGCCCTTCTTTGGGAAGCTCTAATGCTTATAATTCTTTGGTCAGAAAAAACATAACTAATAGTTATCAGGAAAGCTTGCTTCCTAGTTTTTCCTTTTCTTTTCCTCCTGTGAAAGAAAATAATTTAAAGAAGACTAATTTCCCACCAAGTACAACAGATGTAGGTCTTTCTAAAACCCCTCAAGAGTTATTAAACCTTGTGAATGCTGTTCGACAAATGGTAAGCTTGTTCTAAAATCAGTATACGATATTTTCTTTTCTTTTTTATGTTTTATTTATACATTTTTCTTTAGTAAATATAAAAACTCAGTATCTACATAGGCAGCATGTTGTCTCCGTACA